TATATATATATATATATTTTGGATAAAACAATTTGATTGATACAAAAATGAAGTCAAATATAAAACTAAAGTTTTGTTAGGTCAAGGAGCTAGTGTGGTCATTTGAGTGCCTTGAACCCCGGGTTAGAATCCCCATCTCTACATATTTTTTGCAATTATCCACATATCTGCCATGTCAGCATTACAAATCATCAAAGGCTAGCAGGTAAAATTTACCTGCTTTAGCCGGTGACAGGAACAAATGTCAGGTTTTTTTGCCCTTATGGGACGTTATATAAAAGTTGTCCACTTAGAGGACCAAACCTTAAATTGGTGCCACTTACAGGACGAAATCTCTAATTTTTCCACATGTAATCATTGAGAAAACCACATACTCATTTAATGCTTGTTAGAGCAGCGCCGGCTTGTCACTCCGAATTACTATGCGAAATGACAAGATGAACTATATATGAATCGTATCAGACAAGGGCTACTATAAATAGTTGGACACCTTCATTTATTGAGGGTTGTTGATCTCTCTACCAACTCTCTTTCTCTCTCTCTCTACATTTATTCTGCAATAAAGATTGTAATTACTCCCAAGTGTAAGTAAAGAGGCCACCTCAACTTTAGAGGCCAAACTCGTAATTAAAGTAATAAAGGTTATTTCCTTCGTAAAATCCATTATTATTCTCATTTATATCTAATACAAGTCTAACGCCCGACTGACCGAGAATTGCTTCGAGCTCGCCTTCCTCAGCGGTAGAATGCCGAACCTGCACGCAACTCTCACACCGGAGGTGATTTTCTGTGAAGAGCCTCCAACGCTCAAGTCAGATCTTGAGAGAGATGGAAAATATGAGTATAAGTGCTTCAGAGTATTAGAAAGATCGTACCTAAAAATGAGGATTCTTGTTCCTATTTATAGGGATGAACTGTTCTACATGCGCGACTTGGGCGAGTTTGGCCGGCTGTCTCCTGCTCGTCCGTACATCCGCGCGTCTCTACTATCCTTGGTGTAGGAGAACGCGTCGAATATGTCAGAGAATGTCAGAGTTCGTTATAGCCATGTACCACTCGTAAAGCGCCATGTGTCTCCCTTCCACGTGCTGGAGGCTCTATTATTTATTCTGATGCTCGATCGGATCTTCAACGAATGTTGAGTTGTCCCTGAGGTATGAGGTGGTCGAATCCACGACCATGCCTATTTGATCGTTCTTCCTCGACCAACTCCTCGAGTCCCTGGTACTTGCTTTTCTCTGTTGCCTTCATTCCGGCTTCCCGGTCCGACTCGACCAGGTCGTTGGTCTATTTTAGTCGGTTGTCTTGACGAACCGGTCTATCATATAATATCCCATATCATCTAGTCCCCCCACTCTGGTCGAGTCTGAATGACTCAATCTAAGAGTAAGGTTTATCTGTGTCGCCGAGGTTCCTGCTTTATCCGTTTCGACCATCTAACGCGTTTCCTTCCTTTGATCGACCACTTTTTCCATAACCGCCATTTTGCGCTTTTTGAATTTTGAATTTTACCTCTTGCCCGCCTTTTTAGACGTGTCTTTTCGTCTGTCATGTGCCATCATTGCCTCGTGGCCCGCACCTCCTTGTACTTCGTGCCGCCTTAAAACCCTTATTCCTTTTGGCCGTCAGATTAACCATTTTAATCCGTCGGTTAGAAATCCTCTGCCTCTTCACCTGCCTTCTCATCACAGCCCTTAATGTTTTGTGATCCAACAGTTGGTGTTTCCCCTCGTTTACCTATTCCTTGTATAAATATCAACACTTAGATAGGTTTTCCTTTTCTTTCACTCTCGCATTCTCGCAATACCAATCTTTTCTGCAACTCGAGTCCTCCTGCCACCTCGCGACCTTCGAGCTTTCAACGATCAAGTTGTCGATAATCATGAGTAAGTTTTCTAACTCTCTATTTTCATGTATTTATTGCCCTTAATTTTGAATTCTATCTCTCCGTTTCCGGCCTTCCCCTCCTTCTGCCATTACAACTCTCGTCCTCCCTGATATGGGATATTATACCCATTGGGCTAAACCGGTCTACTGACCGGTCGAGGAGGTCGTATTATGAGGAATTCAAGAAAATCGAGCAGTTAATCAGTCGACCAAGTAAAGTTGTCGACCAAACTATCCTTCGACCAGATACATGATCGGGCAACCTATTCGACCTCAACAGGTCGACTACTTCGAGGACTTAACACCATGTTGATCGGCCTAGTCACAGGCGCGTGAGAGAGCCTCTAACGGAATTCTAGGAGAATATTTATCCCATGTGCAGGGGGACACGTGTCAAGAAGGCAGTGGTGGATAGCGATAACCACCTCTGATAGTCTACCCCATGTGCAGGAGGACACGCGTCCAAAGAGGATTGGTGTAGGTGATAGTGGCGACGGCTACCTCTGACACACGCGTTTGGTGTGTACGGACGGGCAGTTAGGGCAGACAGCTCATCAAATCCGGGTAGCCCTAGGTCAGGTATCTCACCCCTATATAAAGGGGGTGAGCCTTTCTTCTTCAACACGATCATTCTATTACTTACTCTTGAGAATTGATTGAACATACACTGACTTAAGCTTCGGAGGCTCTTCACCGGAAAACCCCTCCTGTGTGAGAGTTCTTTGTAGGTGCACAACGTTCAACCGGTGAGAGGGAAGGCGATTATTCAAGTTCCAGTCAGTCGAGAAGTTTTGTGTTACCATTTGGCGCCGTCTGTGGGACTTTCATTTGAAAAGGTGTGCTTGAAGCTCAGCTATGGCGGATGGATTTCCCAAAAACTTACAGTCAACGTTCGATGATGCTTGGACGACGACCAGGCCGTTGGGACAAGGTCCTCCCCTGGGTTTTTCTAGCCCATCGCAGACGCCGATCACTCTCGCACTTGTGCTCCAAGGTGTGGGAGCGGCAACGACGATTCCCGGAGGAGACGCCGGCCACAACCGTGCTCACGAGGCCCGCGCAGCGGATGCGGCGGCGATGCCACCACCACCACCACCACAGCAAAGCTCAACGGCAGCACAACCAGAGGGAGTGGGAGTGCAACTGGGAGCGACGGTGGTGCAACCGGGAGGAACGGAGATGCAACCAGGAAGAGCGGTGGCCCAAGGAGGAGCACCGCCGCGAGCAGCGGTTCAGGTCCCCGACCAGCAGGTGATAATGACCAGGCAGGAGATGCAACAAATGGTGGCGGAGGAAGCTACACAGGCGGTTCAGCAAGTCACAAAAAGTCTCTCTCGGGCTACAGCAATGTCGAACACTATTGTAGGGTAACGCCAAAATGCGGAGGAGGATGAATCTAGCTATGGTGGAGGCGGGCCCACGCATGACCGGGAGATGGAGAGGATGGCGGAACAGCTGCGCCAATTGCAGGCTAAGGTGGATGGTCGAGCGGAGAGACGCGCTCGAGGACACCCGTTCTCGGCGAACATACTAGCAGCGCCTTTGCCAAATAATTACAAGGATACCAACTTGGTGTTTGATGGGACCTCTGATCCGTCGAGACACGTGAGAACATTTGAAAATATGGTTGTGTTGCATGGATATACTGACCCTGTTAGTTGCAGGGCCTTTTTATCGACCCTTAGGGGAGGGGCGCTCGACTGGTTCCAACAGCTCCCCGCAGGCTCGATCGTGGACTTCGAGGATTTTGCGGAGAAGTTGACAAATCAATATTCAAGCGCGGTGGCTCAGGAGAAAACGTATTTGACACTGATGGCGATGAGACAAGGCGAGAAGGAGTCACTGCGTAAATATGTCTCTCGATACAATCAGGCTTGTTTGGAGATTCCATCGGCGATCGATGAGGTCAAGGCGGGAGGATTGATTAAGAGTTTGCGGGCAGGACCGTGTTGGACTTTTCTGGCTAAGACTTCTGCTCATACGTATGATGAGGTGTTGAGGAGGTGTAGGAAATATATTAATCTCGAGGAGACCGAGGCGGAGTTTGCCAAGCTAGAGGAGTTAGGTCGAGGGGAGTCGAGGAAGGAGAAAGCAGTTTCGCCTAAAAGGAAAGCCTCACCCAGTAGAGAGGGGCGAGCTAAGCAGGATCGGGGACGAGAGGATAGATGGAAGGACCGGCCTATCTTTGGAGGGAAAAGATTCCACGATTACACCCCGTTGAACGCGAAGGTAGCTGAGGTCTTGATGGCCATGGAGAAAGGGATAGATGGGAAGGATGTGACGTGGCCAAGGTCGAGGTTTGAAGGGCCAACCCAACCGAAGTCGAGGAGATATTGCCGCTTCTATAAAGACTATGGCCACACTACTGAGGATTGTCGGCATCTCAAGGACGAGATTGAGCGCCTTATTCGAGCAGGGCATCTCAAAGAGTTTGTCTATCAGGATAAGGGGAGAAGGAAGGAGAAGAGAAAGTGTCGGGAGGACTCGGTGGAGAGGAGTGAGGAAGATGATGATGAGGCTGCACGAGGTGGTCGAGATGGTCAAAAAAGAGATGAGGGGAAAAGGAGGCAAGGAAGTAGGGAGCGGGAAAGAGAAGGAGATGGAGGCCAAGTGAAGAGAGGCACGATATATATGATTTCAGGAGGACCGACGGACGGGGACTCGAATAATGCAAGGAGAGGCCATGTTCGAGCAATGAAAAGGAAGAGGGAAGAGGTGAGTATCACGGCCCGAGTACCAGAAATCAGTTTTCGAGCAGAGGATGCAGCAGGGGTGGTGGTGCCTCACAATGATGCCTTGGTAATTACGGCTGAAGTTGCAGGTTTTGACGTAAAGAGGGTGTTTATAGACACAGGAAGTTCGGTCGATGTCATGTTTTATGATTGCTTTGTGCAAATCAATCGGGAGTTGAATGTGGAGCTGAAGCCGGTGGCCACGGCCTTGTATTGTTTTAACGGCGGGGAGGTTATGCCAATGGGAGAAGTGACTCTATCTGTAGCACTGGGAAAGGGAGCGACTCGGAAGGTTCGAATGGTGAGATTTGTGGTCGTAGGAGCTGAGTCATCCTACAACATCATAATGGGGAGAACGAGCCTGAACGCGTTCCAGGCGGTCGTATCCACGTACCACATGACGATCAAATATCCGGTGGGCGAAAACGTTGGTGAGATCGCTGGGGATCAACTTACCTCGAGAAGCTGCTACCAGACCACTGTGAGCAACAACAAGCAATTAGCGAGGAGGCAGATGCACCCTAAGGGGGAGAAAGTCAATCGATCGGGAGGGTCGAGGTCGAAGGAGGAGAGACATAAGCCAGAGAAGGGGAAGGAGAATGCCGAAATGCAGCTGGGTGGTGAAGTGAAGGAGATACAGATGGTCGAGGGGTGCGAAGAAAGGAAGTTCTGGATCGGGAAGGAATTGGAGGAGCCGGTGAAATCGAGGGTAATTAAGGTGATAAGAGATTTTTCGGATGTGTTCGCATACTCGATGAGGAGTTGACCGACATCAAGGCCGAGGTTATTGAGCACCGGTTGAACATCGACCTCGCGATAAGATCGGTGAAGCAAAAAAGAGACACCACAGAGCAGAGATGGATAGAGTAATCGAGGTGGAGGTAGAAAAACTCTTGGTGGCAGGTCACATAAAGGAGATCCAGTTCCCAGAGTGGCTATCAAACACGGTTATGGTCTCAAAGTCAGAGGGGAAATGGCGAATTTGCATAGATTTTCGAGATTTGAACAAGACATGCCCGAAGGATTTATATCTGCTTCCCAGGATCGACCAGCTGGTCGACTCCACAGCCGAGTGTGAGCTACTCAGTTTGATGGACGTATCCCAAGGTTATCATCAGATCCCACTGGCTCGAGAGGATTGGAAAAGGGTCAGCTTTATAATAAGTCGTGGAACATACTGCTATGTGGTGATGCCATTCGGTTTAAAGAATGCAGGGGCGACATATCAGAGGTTGGTGGATAAAATTTTTAAGGGTCAACTGGGAAGGAACATGGAGGTGTATGTAGATGATATGCTGGTAAAGAGCAAAGAGGAAATTGACCATGTAAACGACTTGAAAGAAACATTCATGACCCTCCGGAAGTATGGGATGAAGCTGAATCCCGTTAAGTGCTCATTTGGGGTCAAATCTGGGAAATTTTTGGGCTACATGGTCACGAAGAGGGGAATCGAGGTCAACCCAGAGAAGGTGAGGGCGGTGATCGAGATGCAGCCCCCCACGAAGGTGAAGGAGGTGCATATCCTAATTGGTCGAATAGCAGGCCTGAGCCGCTTTATTTCTAAGGTAGCTGAGAAAAGTAGGCCCCTATTTAAGACACTCAGGAAAAGCTCGAAATTCCAGTGGACAGAAGAAGCCCATAAAGCATTCGAGGAGTTGAAGAGGGTGCTAATCGACCTACCACTATTGGCAAAACCGGTGCAAGGGGAGGACTTGGTGTTATATGTATCCATTGGTGAGACGGCAGTGAGCTCGGTGTTATTGCGGGAGGAAGGGACAACCCAATTTCTAATCTATTACGTGAGTAAGGTGATGCAAGAGGCGGGGATGAGGTATTCAGAGATTGAGAAAGGGGCCTTGGCGGTGGTGGTCACCGTAAGGAAGCTGAGACCATACTTCTTGGGAAATAGGGTGAAGGTCCGAACGAATATGCCATTGGGAGAAACACTGGGTCGACCCTCCGTATCGGGGCAGTTAGTCAAATGGGCAGTCGAGCTGAGTGAATACACAATTATCTACGAGCCGAGGAGGGCGATTAAGGCTCAAGCACTGGCCGATTTTATACAAGAGGGGACGA